GAGCAGGGGTGCAACCCCCCATCCCCACCGCGGCTCTCTGGGAGTCCCTGGCTCAGCTGCACCCGTCTCACACACCCTGTCTCCTCACACCAGGATGGCACCAACAGCGTCTGCTGAGCAAGGGGCAGGGGCAGCAGGGCTGGGCTCCGGATCCCTTCCCGCTGCTCCCCGTCCCACGTTGCCCCTTCCATCGCACCCCGGGAGCAGAGCCAGCGCCTCATTTCACTGCTCCTGCAAAAGGACGCGGGCAGAGCCAGAAGCTGGCGGATGGCAAGGAGCAATTTCGTTACCGCTCAGGAAAACGGAGCGGCTCTCCAGAACACTACTGACAATCAGCAAGTTGGGCTGGGTGTTTTGTTTGGTGCTTTAGGAAGCCCACGGGGCCACTGACAACCTGCAATAATCATCTTCAGAAAGGAGCTCAGAGAAATGCGGGGTTTTCAGCAATGATTTACCCTGCCTCGTCCTTGGTTTGTAAATTGCCAGGAGGCTTAGGAGATACACTGAAACAGGCACTGACCAGTGCCTTGAGTGCGAGAGCAGCCTGCTGCGCTATCTGCCCAGCACAACCACTCACCGCGAACCCCTTGCCAGCGCCTGGGGAGGGTTTTAAGAGCAACAGCATGATTTCCAAGCTGACAGCCCCTGTGCACAAAGCGCGACTGTGCGGTGACAACAGAGCAGCCCGGGGCACGGGAGCCGGCTGACCTCTGCTGCAGCTCTCGCCGGTGGATTTTTATTGTTCACCACTTTCCCAAAGCGCAGGCACCGAGGAAAAAGCAACCAACATACTGGGATCAAAGAGCAAACAGCCGGTGAGCCCCGCCGGAATAGCGGGGAAAGGAGGATCTGCCAGAGAGGCCTGGGGCTCAGGACTGCCTGGGCAGGGGCTGGAAGAACGGGAGAAGCAACCCTCCCTTTCTGTGAGCGGCCAGGAGAGTAGCTGGAGCCATTGGTCGCGGCAGTGCAGGGTCACTGAGAGGAAGCACCGAGCTGGACACCCTTGTCCTGCTTTCCCAGGTAGCTAAGGAAAGCCCGGAGCTACGACTCTGCAGCCGGCGAGGCCGGGTCTCCAGGGACCAGGATCCAGCTGGAAGATAACGTTCCCCAGACCCGCGGCCTGTCACGAGCACTGCTGGGGTGACACCGCTCACCTTGGCTTCTGCCGCACGCACAGCAAAGCGGGCAGTTCTCCCCAACTGCCCTGTCCTGCAAAACCCGCACATCCCATTCCACACACCTGCCTCTGCGGAGAGGCTCCCCCTTCGAGGAAACAGCACCCTGGCCAGGGGAGATGGGTGACCTGCAGGTGCAGGATGAAGAAAACGCCCAGGAAGAAGCAGGACGGCCTCTCCCAAGGCCCTCGCGAGCGGGGCCCGCAGACGCGGGTGCCCCCTTCCCTTGCAGCTCATGCCGCGAGCCACGGCACATCCGCGCTGCACAGCTCGGGGCACTGCCCAGCTCCTGCCAGGCCAGTGCCACATTCAGCTGCTTTCTAGGACATTTTAGCAGCCTCTGAAAGCTTCACACCTCGAACCGGCACCCTAGGCACGGTGCCTGCCCGCCGGAGCCCCCGCTGGGCTACGGAAATGCCACGGGGCATGAGCTGCACACCAGCTCATCAGCTCAGAGACGAGAGCCCCGCACGGCCCGAGAGCTCCGGCTGCTCTGCCCAGCGCCGCTGCCGCCCGTGCCCGCGGCCGGGCGCACGTCACCGCCGAGCGGCTGCACGCGGTAGGAGTGGCCGCAGTGACGGTGTCGCGGCTTGTGTCGGACACACACGGCCAAGCCCAGCAAATCCCAGCGCTCTGCAGCTCTCACTTACAAACCCCACGCGCTCTGCACAGGTACAGAGGCTTCCCCAGGAGCTCGGGCTCCACGGCGCTCAGAAAGCACCCAGGTAGGGCTGCCCCGGGCAGCTGCGAGCACAGCAAGCTCAGCGCTTCTGCAAGGAAGGGCCCGCGCCAGCCGGGGGCACAGGGATTGCTGCTCCATGCCAGCCGGGGGCACAGGGAGAGCCGCTCCGCGCCAGCCGGGGGCACAGGGAGAGCCGCTCCG